CCTGCTCTAAGGTATCGTTTAAAATGTAGTTATAACAACACTTGAGACTTTATCCTTTAGAAAGGCGGAAGCTGAAAGGTTTGATATAATAAAAGTTATGTTTCTGGAATTTGTGGTCCTGCGTTACTCTTCGTAGCAAGGGTAGTTATAATATATAAAACATATTACGCATACAATAATATGACAAATTATGCTGATTAAGATCACATCTATTTAAATGTTAGGTAACTTTAACTTTTAAGATTTTCGGAGATTAATATGTGTGTGTGTGTGTGGGTGTATTTATAAATATTTTGAGTTTTGTACGTTTTCTTATCAAGTTAGACATCATTATGCAGTTGTTTCTTTTCTCATAACACAAACATACATTTTTTAATAATTCAATTACATTCACAAGCTCTTCTGACTTATAAAAAGCAAATAACACTTCAACCGAAAATGAAAACAAAATACAGCTTTTTCTAAGCCTAAAACAAACTTACGTATTTCATTGAAATAGAAAGGAAATTCTCCTGGTATTGAACAATTGAAACGAGCCTTCAAGAAAGATGCCCAGTTGTTGTTCAATATATTTTTCCCACCCGTATCTTTCTAGAAAAACAACAAAACGTATAAGAATTATGTATGATAAATTTATACATGCAGTGTTCCCTCTGTACTTTTATGATGGATGATTATTTTTTGTATAAATACATGTATACATAAAATCAGATATTTAGATCAGTCTCTTACCAGTTATATATCAACAGAAACTACACTTGTCTTATGTTTCTTTTCAATTTATTTTATAAGCAAGCTTCATCACTCCACATTTATAATAATTAAATCAAACCAATTACAAACATTTCTGTCTTTCTTTCTCGAGTATTACTTTAGCTGGAAATTAACTAAATTATCAGTAAATATTCCTTCAAGTGTTTAAAATAGATTAGTTTTCATGATTTATCACATCTAGCTTTTAGTCTGTAAGTACTAGATATTAAACTTTTTAAAGCAATTCAAATGCTCTACTTTTTTCTCGCTTTAAAAATGAGCTGTATTGAAGCACATACATACAGCAAATACTGCATAATAAATATAACACACTCAAAAAAAAGTTGGAACAGCCTTTTCAAAGGTTAAACAATATTGTTTTCTGGTTTTGTGTTTAGTGTTTCCTCAAAATTATTCAGTTTGCAAATAAAGGTAGTTGCTTTTATAAAATCTAGAAAAGAAAAGAAAATATACTTTTTTGAAGAAAATAAACTTTCTGTGTTTAGACTTAGAATTTATATTTATATTTAGAGAAGAGAAGTAATTGAAAACACAAAATGTGTGTATTTTAATTCCATAACTTTATGTTTAATGGTATAGTGAGTAGTAGCCTTGGCCATTTTAAGTAACAAAGCAATCAATAACACTCAGCATTTTATAGATTTCATCACTTAAAATGTTTGAGAGAAAAATTAAATCTATTAGTCAAACACAAAAACAACTCAACAAGCAGCTAGCTGGTTATGGTTTGTTTTTGAAATAAAAAAAAACATTTGAGTAATGTTGGAGGTTCAAAATCTTTTAGACAAGTACACTAGAGGGCATTCTATTTACTAGGTGTTGTCTTTAATTCCACAGAAGTGATGACTACCTGATTTGTCCATTAGTGGGGCTTAGCACTCTACTTTAGTAACTTTAATAACATCTGAAAATACATTAACATAAACATGCAATTGCATTCCACAACCTAAAGAACAAGGCAACTTTTAAGACACTGCAGAAGATAAGAAAAAAATGATAAATGTTTTCATATTACTTAGAGCTCAGACTATATGGATGTAAGTTTTAACAACCATTTTTCGTTCTTTTGAAACTTCTGTCATAAAAAAACTATAATAAACAGCTAAGGAAGGTGCTTTCTTTCAACAAACTGTACTTTGCAAGCATTCTGAGAGTTGAATAATGGAATAACGCAAAGATGAAAAAATTGTTGGTTCATATTTGCAAACCTTTGTTGTTGAAAAATAAATTGACCATACTTACTTTACAAACTCTTGCTACACGAGAGAAAATGTTCTTTCCACAGTTGATGAATTCAATAGCATTTTCTCTGAAGAAGAAATAAACATAATCTCCAATGTTGTAAGAGCCAACAAACTGAGGTTCTGTAAAAGGTTAAACATAAAATATTAGTAGCTTTGACAGTTAAATAAATATATGAGAAAATTTGTGGAGAAACATAAGTGATTATTTTCTCTTCATACAGTGAAAATGCAAGTCTATGTCAATAAGAAAAAATGCAAACGTTCTTAAACATAATAATACTCATATTGTTTTCACGTAGATGATTTTGCCAGTGTCATTTGACTACTAACAGATAGCTATTGTCAATGATTTTTTGATAATATCTGGCTACTGATAGCATCAAGCTTATATTCAGTTTATTAGTGTTGCATATTGTTACGTCTCTGTGTTCGTTTGTTAATTTTCCGTATAATTTATTTACGATGAAATTTCAGCGATACAAGTCTTTTCTTAAATAAAACTAGTTTATTCTTTCTCAATTCAACTTTGCAATACACTTAATTTTCACAGCCACTTTAAATTAAACACATGCTATAATTCACAACGAACGATTCACGCGCTTTACTTACGTCACTACCGCGCTTGACTCAATTGTCCGTCTCTATATCTGCCTGTCTGCAATTTAATTCTGATTGGTTGTCTCGCTTTATCTGGCGCACTTATATACAAAAATA